CACTGTGCTGTCACTGACTCATTCTCTTCTCAACTGACTTCTGACTGACAGCTGCCAGGCATCATAGAAGAAGATAATAAGCTTAAGTGAGAGATTGAGAATATTCTCAATGAGAGATCTCACAGCTGTAGCTGATAATATCTCATGAAATAAGTCAGCTATAATCAACTGACCTGAACTTCAAGTTCTGTGTTATCTGAAACAGCAGTTCTTGACTGATGAGAACTGCTTCTGAAAGAGAGAGACTAATGTAGCAGGCTGTACCTGATCAATTATATAGACTATTTTATTACACTTCACAGATTTTAACTACTTCATTCTCAATCATCAATTCAACATTTTTAAAACATATATACTCTGATTCTTGATCATTCTTGATCACTGATTCTCAGTCATTACAAATGTGTACAGATTCTTCTACTCTGAAGCTTCACTGCATACATCATCACATACATGTATAAATATTCACTTTAATCACTGATTCTCACACTTTCTCTTTCTTTTCCTTCTCTAACATTTTTCTCTTTGTTATATAAGATCTATCAATATCATACCGATCTATTCGGCGTAGGCCTCTTACACAGTCTACTCAATCATGTTCAATATCATCACTGTAGTGAAAAGTACTGCATTTGTAAACACTGAGTCACTGACAATCTATATTACTGATTTCACTTCCTGCATGAATGCTGAACTGACTGTGCTATTTTCAAATCTTTGAGTAGTAGATATTATCAGCTGCACTCTCATTATAATGACTCAATTCTCAATAACTATAACAGATTGATTACAGTTAGCTAGCTAGTAAGTACTGACATTGTCTTCTGCACTAGCAGCTGTGTTGTTCTTGATTATCTGTCTAAGTACATTATCAAGGCTGAAACAGACATAGAATTCTATCATCAGATTATTCAATAAGTGATTTCAAGAGTCAGTTTAAGTCACTTACTACTCTCTACAGTTATTAAACTTATGAATCAGTTTATTAATGAGTGTAATTGATCTACTCAGAAGATTTATCATCTTCTTTTAAATCTTTCTTTATAAATGAGTTCTTGTAAGTCAATTACAGTTGATTATTAGTCTGAATCTTAACATTGTCATAGCTATATTCTTGAATCTGATGAATTATAATATGATTTATTCTTTTTAAAAAAATATAAGCAGCAGTCAACTGAATTTGAAGATCTTTTATTTTTTAAATTTCTTCAAATCTTTTCTCACAGTTATTAAATTAAGAGATGTCTCTGTATAAAACTCTGAGTATTAATCTACTTTTCTATTTATCAGTTTAAAACTGATTTAGAGAACTATGCTTATATCAAACTTCTTCTTCATCACTCTTTTTATTAAATTGAAGATCTCAAGATTATTAATCTTCTCATCTCTTAACTCTCTTTTACAGAGATCTTTAATTATTACTGTCTTTCTTATAATCACTCAGTTAATGTCTATGATGAAGACATGCTGAAATCAGAACCTGAGTTTGAAGATAATCAGAATAATGAAGAAGAGCTTGATCTCTCTTAAGTATTACTTATCTATTAAAACTCACAGTGTGATAATAATGATCTTATTAACATCTAAAACTGTGAACAGCTTAATCATTGATTCTTAGATTTCAACTATGATTGAAGCTCTCATATTAATACTTATATCAATCTTAACACAGAATTTTAAAATAATATGAAGACTGACTTCTCTGCAGACACTACTTTTCATAAATATAACTCACTCAAGACTCTAGACTCTGATCAATATCTTCTTCATAACACTATTCTCTATTATTATACTGAGATTCTTAACAGCAGATTCTCAGATTCTTTGCTAATTAATCTAGATAATGAAGATGACACTGATAAAACTTATCTAATTATGATTTTGTTTACAACTCTTCAAAATCTTGCAGAGGCTCAAGATCTCTCAATCTTAATTATTTAAGCTGTGTCAACTGATGTAGCTACTTACTTCATTAATACTTGAATCTTATATATATTATTTCAGCTCTTCATATACAAGAATATGTTATATAAACTGCTTAATTCTTAAAATCTTCAATCTTTACAGGCTCTTTTTAAGGATGTTCACTATCTATTAATTGATAAAAAGTTAATGATTGATTTATAGTAACTTTTATAAATTGATCAGATCTGTTATTATATATTCTCTTATAAAAATACTCATTTTAATGATCTCAGTATCATTCTCAGTGAAGATTTCTATTAGCTCTTATCTATTTTTCAAACTCTGCTCTATTATAACAGATGTATTAATTATAAAGAAGACATTCAGAGCTATTAAATTTACTTAATTTTTAGTAAAATCATTTAACTTACTGTGATTTAATAATAAGTGAGTGAAGATATCATCAGCTATCAGTTCTGTGAGATCTTGAAAAATCTTCAGCTTGATCAGTTAACTCTGAGTGATTGAGAGTTTCTTTTAAAGTATGTATAGACTCTTATCTCTCATGAAGCCCTGATCTTTGAGAATGTAATTCACATTTATACTAAGAAGTATCATATTTATATCTATAATAATGATATTATTTAAAGCTGTAAACAACCTGTTATTAATATTCAGATTATAAATGTTAATATAGATACTTCTTAGTTAGATTCTGATAAGATTAATAATCTTTATCAGAATCTTTCTCTCTTTATCAGCTACTGAATTATACTTCTACAGAATATTTAAATAGACTGCAGTCTTGTTAACAGTACTCTTGAAATTCTTCATAATATTGTATAAAGTCTAGATATAAAGAATCTCTGTTAAGATTCTTTATTTATACTACTAATTAATTTTAATAAATATGATAGCTCTGCTTATTTAAAATGAAAGAATCTTAAACTTGTGTCTATCTTCTACAGCTGTTATGACTTTTCTCATATTAATCAAGTCTGCAGCTGCATGCAGTTCTCTATTACAGTTATATATACTATTACAGTTTATAAATCTCAAGAATTATCACTTGATCAGACTGTTCTTGATATTTCTGAGACTGAATTTCAGACTGATCTCACATATATTATAGTTTTATAGATTAAAATATATCAAGGTCTTCTGTTTAAACAATTCTTTAATTATTTCAGATTTTATCAGTCTGATGATAGAGTGAGCAGAAGCATGCAGATATATGAGATTAATTATATAAGATATTAAAATTAATAGATAACTAAGTTATATTTCTTTTCTTTTTATAGATCTCTGCTAATCTATATTCTATATAGATTTATTCACTCTTTATTTCATCTTTTTCACAGTTTATATTTAATCTACTTATTTACTTATTCTTTATTACTGTAAGTTCTTCATTCTCTGTTCTATCATTTTCTCTATCTATTTTACTCACAGATTTACTGAATTCAATTATTAAACTTAATAAATCTATTATAGCTGATTCTATTATAATCACTAAATCTGAGAATGAGTAGTTAGTAATCTATAGAAGATATTGAAATAATCTGAATATTAATCTATACAGCTTAGATTTAATATAATAATATTTTTAATCTGAGAGATTGAGAATCTTCTGAGATCTGTGTTATTAAGACCTGTATTATATTATATAATAAGAGATATTGAATTCTTACAGCTGTTAATACATGTATAAGAGAAAGTAAATGAATCTCAGAGTATTTCTTTTCTCTTTAAAGAATTCATCTTATCTCTTATCTCTCATCTCTATCAGCTGTTTTTTTTTTTTTTTTTTTTTTTCAGAAATCATATCATTTATCTCTATTAATTTATCAGAAGTTTAAAAAATCATTAATACTATTATTATAATTGAAAACAATGTCTTGAAACATGTTCATTGTAAGTAAAATTCTTTAAAATAATAAAAATTACAATTCTAATAATTAGTATAGTTCTAAATAACCTTATTCAGTTTACTAAGCTACTAACTGTTAACTTCATTCTCAGTTCTATATTTATGTCTGTGTCTGTCTCTGTCTCTGCTGCATCTGTCAATTCTAGATCATTGAGTCAACTATTAACTTGTTTAACTGAAAGAATGTCTGAGAAGCTGTTAAAGAAGTTACAGACTCTTATTAAATTATTCTATACTTAGAAGTCAGTCTTATAAGAGAGTCATCAGATTAATATAAAAATCAATACAAATTATAAAGCTCTTCTTCTATAATTCTGTGATGCTGTTTTTACAGTTCTCTACAGTTACTGTATTAGAGAAGAAGACTCTTTTATTATCTGTATCAGTGCTCTGAATCAGTGTTATAAAGCTTGTATCAGTTATCATTATAATAGTACTGAAAGTTACTACTCTTATCATAGAAGTAAGTTACTTTTTAATATAAAATATATCAATTCTAATATAATTAACTAATAGTTATATATAGTCAATGTCAGTAAGAAGAATAATAAAGTGAAAGAAAAGAAATAGAAGAATGAAAAAAGAAAGAAAGTTAAGAAGAAGAGTTTATTCAAGAAGTACTCTACAGCTGAGAATACAGAGACTAGAATTTTAAAAAAATAAGTAATAAGTGTTAAATCAGTTAACAGTTATGATATTAAGATTTTAACTCTTTATATTGAAAATAAGACTCTGTATAAGAAGAATACAGCTCTGAAGACTAAATTCAGAACTATTATAAGTCTTCTTCAGATCACTCAAACTGTTCTTGAGAATAATATATAAGATAATGAGATAGAGCAGAGTGTTTTTTATTTTTTTTCTTACTTAGTTAGATAATGCTTTTACACTGAAAAATGAATCTCTATATGTTTTTACAGTTCTATTCCTTCTATTATTATTAATAATAAGCTGTAAAATCAATCTTGTGAGGTCTTCTGTTTTGAGCTTAGCTCCGCAACATCTTTGCACACAGAGGCTTGTATGCATTAAGATATTTTAATAATGGAGTTGAAACCTCGCAGCCTTTGATTGAGAGCTATCTTGCATAACTGAAGATACAGATATAGATGATAAATAACTATATATGCCAAGCTTTTTTCTTACAGCTTGCTTCTCTGTGTCAGAAAAAAAAAAAAAAAAAGAAAAAAAGAAAAAAAAAAAAGAAAGCATGCATAGCTGCTAGTGTCAGCGCCACATTTCCCCTTGCGCCTGTAGCTGCTGGCAAGCCACAGTGCAAGTGCCACTTCCGTCACGATCCGAGAAAAAAGAAAGGAAAAGAACAGTAGTTGCAGTTACTGAGTAGGAGCGGGTTGAAGGGAGGACGTAACTACTATGCATGTACTGTACTTGAACGTAGCTTGGGGGTTTTGTTATCCAACAGAAGATCGCCGTTAATTGGCGATGAAGCCGAGTCCGAGTACAGTACAGTACGGGGAAAAGCTTCGGAAGATGAAAGGTATTTGGTTGGTTGTCTTTGTAGCTTGGTATTGAAGAATTCAAATGGCAGGGTTCACTTCTTGCAAGCAGAAAAGGGAGACTGGGTATATAGCATTTCATGTCAGGACATTTTAATGATTTCAAAACGGGGGTGGGTTTAACTAATAGTAGAGGTGTCGTGGGAGCAAGTGAGTTGAGTAACTAACTATATGCAGTACTTCGATAACGATGCTAACAAAGGCCTACCGTGCAAGGGTTCATTTCTTGCAAGCAGAAAAGGGAGACTGGGTATATAGCATTCCATGTCAGGACATTTTGCTTTCCCTGCACGCTGGACAGAGTTCTGTGAGCCCTGGGCTGCAAAGCCTGTGAAAAAGCGTATCGATGATATATACTCCGTACATAAAATGAGGCTTGATTGGGCGATTGCCTCTGCGAGGTACAGATTAACTTATTACAGAGTACAGAATATCATAGATTCGCTTTGTGGCGAGTTTTCTAGCCCTGTGTGCGGAGTACAATAAATAATAATAATAATAATAATACAACTTGCACAGTAAGTACCGTACCTTTAGGGTCTGGTTGGCATTGCGATAAATAGCGGCGAAATGGAGCGCTTAAGGCCGAATATTGTCTGTTCAGTGTTCACCGGTTCCTACGCTGTAGCCCTGTGAGCTGAGAGCCAGCCAACCGGGGACGGAAAAAACACATGGAAACTTGGAAAGCCCGTCTGGAAATAATAAGAATTAATAATAGTTATATAATAATTTCTTTTCCTGGCCTGCATTCCTGACGCAACACTGGCCACGCTTGTGCCTGCCTCGGTCTTAGGCTCTTCTTAGCTTCGTTGAAGCCGGCTATGATGATGATGATTGTTGGTTGGAGCGAGGGACCAGTGTGGGCTGTGCGCCCTGTAAACAAAAACATCAAAATCAAGGAACAACTATCCGGGCTAGCTTCAAATCTAAAGGTTTGAAGCTAGTTAGTTTTTTGGTCCTGGACTGAGCCATCCTGAATCCTCCCTGATTTTCCTTGCAGGCCCACACCCTCGCCCTTCCCGCACGCAGAAAGTGGGCACGTATGTATGTATCAGGCAGACTATCTCAGCTCAGTATCCCTGCGACCATTGGTGAGTACAAAAACAAAGACATCCCACCACAAAGCCGAACGAAACAATGACATTAGTATTGACTATGACGGGGATTTCCAAATGAATGGTTGGTACAGCTGCGAAGTTGCACAGTTAAAGTTGTATGGCGGAGTCCATTTCGATGGTTTGCGAACAATATCCGTCAGGACTCAAAGAAACTAGCCGGACTATTGAAAAAGCATCCCTTTGAGCGGTGCAAGAGTAGTCGTTTGTGGGAGCAGTCATTGTACAGACATGTACCTGTACCCGTGCCTGTACAATGTTGCAACGACCTTATATTGAAGACTTGAATTGCCCACAATAGTCGAGCCTCTTAAAAGAGAGGGAAAAGGCGAACAGGATGGGGTGTTGCAGTACAAACACACGAGGCTCAGACGACGATCAGGACAACCAGCGACGGTGCTGTTCTCGAAATGCGTCAGGATTTTCTTTTCTTGTTATATGTTTTTTTTTTTTTTTTTTTTTTTTTCCTTTCTTGATCGGCGAAAAAGCTAGGGAAGATAGCGTGTTGACAGTGTGTCACTCTGCCTTGCTAGTTCTGAATGTCAAAGCTCCCATAGTTGACAGGCGACACTTCAACTGTCAACGCGCATATTGCCTGATATTCTTGGAGTATGTATGACATGACAAGAATCGCACCAACGAAGAAGAAGAAGAATCAAAGCCAGATCAAATTTCCGCGAAATCGGCTGGCATCCGGGATTCCTTGAAGTAAAGCGATGCCAATGCTGATGGAAGAACCACAGGCATGGCATACGCTGCGTATATAATAATAATGCCAAGTTTGTTCGATTGGGCTGTCCGTTCACCATAAAATTAATAATAAATATTTTTTCCCCTTTCCTTCTAAATTCAAAACTTCCTCGAGATCTCAAATCCCACGGAACACAGATGACGCTCCACAGCATGACTTTTTGTTGGTTCCAAGTCCAACGATTTTTTTTTGTGCTTCCTCGAGCCGCCTACCTTGCAACCGGTTTGCCACCGCCCAGCCCAAGTTTGGCCTTCCTTGTCCCGTCCGTTCGGATTTAGCAGAGAGAAAGAAAAAAAGAGGTCTCTGTTTTGTGTTGTGTCCAAGCTCAATCGTAGTGGAAGTAGTTCCAGCCAGTCCCGGTGGGTGGCCTTGCGTATGTATGTATGCCTGGCGGCCCGGCAGAGTCCTGTCATCAGTTAGTTAGCAACAGTAGTAATAAGTTAGGAGTGAAGTAACAACAATTCAGCATCAGCATCAGGGACATAGTAAGAAGTAGTTCTCAACCAGAACCATCCATCTCCCCTTTCTGCTCACTTGCTGGATCTCTCTGCACACACTCGTTTTTCCCTCCTCCTTTCTGATCCCGCAGACAGAGAAGAGAGCTGGGTTATATATAATAATACTTGGTGTACTTTTTTCCCCATCTCTAATTTACCCCAGGCCGTTCATTTATTCTCTGGAGGTGGTCGTTGCGTTAGTAGCAGTAAATTATTAGACTGTTGCTGCTCTGCTGTCCGCTGTTCCACTTATTCTTGATTTGTTCGTTGGTCGTCGTCGTGTCGTGTCTGGGCCTTGATTGCCCAAAAAGTAAAAAAAAATCGAGCTAAATACTTCACTGACTTCGCCTGCTCCAACTCCCGGCCAACTACTCTCTGTACACCTCTCACCCATCGCCATCGCCATCCTCACCTCCATAGCAGCAAGTTGTCTCAATCTGTCTGTCGGATTAGGATTCCTCTTCTCTTTGTGTTTGCTTGCTTGCTTCGAACTAGAGGCCTTATTCCGCTCCCGCTGGTCTGGTCTGACATCGTCGTCGTCCTCGTCGTCATAACGCCTCTATACTCTTCCTCCTACTGTCGCTTCAGTTTACACACACACACACACACTCTCTCTCTCTCTCTCTCTCTCTCCCATTACACTCTGCTAATCGACCTCGAGATCGTTAATCTCTCTCCCTTTCTCTGTGTCTCGTTCTTGTCTCTCGTTCGTCGATAATTGTTCTTCTCGTTGCCGCTCACTACAGCTCCCCTCCCGCCCTCGGTTCCGGCCCTTCGACTTCCCTCCCCCCTCCCCATACGAGAAGACCAAGCTGGATGGCTGTGTCAGCCACTTCTGCGTTCTAGGGAGAGTTTTGCCGTTTACCGCCTGCCGATTGCTGGGGGAACTTGTGCTCTTTTTCGTTCTTTAATTCCCATTCCGCGTCGTTCCTGCGGCCCGCGTTGGACCTCGGGGTCTCCTTCTCGTCGCTGCGTTGCCGGCAATGACTCCTTCGCCGCCCAGACTGCGGATTCTGTCAGGTGCGTTTTGCTTGCATGCGTTGTGTGGCTTGCTTTGCTTTGCTTGGGTCGCGCACAGTCTCAGAACTCTTCAACCGCTGGAGATCTTGTCCTTTGTCCTTTGTCCCTCAATTCCCCTTTCAACCCCCTCAAAATACCACTATATGCCAAATCTATCCATGTATATCGTTGGTTGTTTGGTCATAGTCTCTCGATGCCTAAATGCTAGAGAGCTTTGATCCATTGATTTCCACTTGTCCCATTTGCATTCTCAATGTCGAAGCGCCGCGATACTAACTGCCTTGTAGTTGGAGGTAATGCGATATCTGCCTTTCTCTCCTGGCGGCTCCAAGCTACAAATGCCTGCGATGTGACCCTCGTATGGAAATCAGGCTTTGAATCTGCTTCTCAATATGGTCTTACTTTCAGGTATGCAAGCAACTAGACCTTTGAACCCGCTTCCCTCCCCTTTGAACCTCCTTTTGAACCTCCTTCAAAGCAATCGTGTGGACCTAGTTTTTTAACTAATTCATGATTTGCGTCATTTAGATCAAAAGTATTTGGAAATGAACGCTTCAAACCCTTTCGGGGTATGTAATCCCTTACAATTCGGACCCCATTGGAGTGCAGCTGCAAGAGAGATCGTCCGCTGATTTCAAATCTTTTTTTTTTTTTTTCAATAGTCGTGCGCACTCCAGAAGAAGCGGGTTCGACCGACCAACCTTTCGACTACGTTATTCTTTGCGTGAAGGCTCTACCAGACGTCTACGATCTTGCCTCCGTCATTGAGTCGGTCGTGACACCCCAACATACCTGTATTCTGGTTAACACCACAAACACATTGGGTGTCGAGGCTCATCTAGAGCACCGGTTTCCTACAAATGTTGTTCTCTCTTTAGTGTCTGGAATTGAGATAATCCAGACCGGGCCCAGTGAATTCGAAATTACATCATCGACAAATACTTGGGTAGGACCTTCTTCAAAAAATGCCATGATTCCTTCATCTATTCAGAACGATATGGCTGTAGCCTTGGCTATCACATTAAGTACAGGCCAAGTCGACTGCAAAGTGTCAGAAAACATCAGACAAGAGCAGTATGAACGCATGATCGGGTAAGCCACGATTATTGACTCTTTTTTTTTTCTCTTCCCCTTTGGGTAATGACTCTTAACCGATATATGATCGCAGGCCCATCGCATTCCATCCCGCGAGCGTGATATTCGAACGCCCAAACCACGCAGACCTCTTAGAGAAAATTGGGCTCCGCCAATTAATCTCTGATGTTATCGAAGAGCTCGTTAGCCTAGCCAAAACTCAGGGCTGCACCTTTTCCGAGAAATTCAAAGAATCGATAATTGAGAAGATGATCGCCCATTCAGATGCACCGAGCACCATGTACCAAGATTTCTTAGCGAGGCGTCCAATGGAGGTGGAAACATACCTGGGATCGCCGGTAAGGATAGCAACCGAAACTGGTATTAAAATCCCTCGAATAGAGACGCTATATGCGATGCTACACCACCTCAACGCCAGCAATCAGGCAAGGCAACCGCAGGAACCAACGTCACCAGGCCCCGTTCACCCACCCCCAAGACTTTCATCTGCGCCTCCTCCCCGTCCCCCGATGAATGGAATGCGGGGCAGTCGAATGGGACCTGGACCTGGTATGGGAATGCCCCCACCTCGACGTGGCCCGTCCTCGATGGGTATGCACCCGAGACCACCTCCCAATGGATTTCCTCCAAGGGGCCCGCCGCCGCCCATGCAGCGAGAATTATCAGAAGAGCATAACCTGGACGAATTTAGCCATCTTATGCTGTACGATGACGTGTTAGAGGACGGGGCGCAGAACGGTGGATACGGTCCTATGTCAAACGGTGGAGGCCCTCCTCCGGACCTTCCTCTGAGAGAGCGCGAGCTAGCACTACGGCAACGTGAACTACAATTGAGGGAGCAAGAAATTAGCATGAGAAGAGTTGGACGGCGAACGTCGGCGGCGCGTGACGGTTTCGACGACATGGACGACGATGATTATTTCGACCCAATGGATCACCGTGGCCCACCCCTACCTCAGATCGATCCCGACAATTTTGACATGCTGAGCGTTACTTCTCGTAGAAATCGGAAAACACAAAGTCAAAATCCAGGCCAGTTCCGCAAGAATCCTGAGATGGGTGGTGGTGGTAGACCTCCCTCAGCTTTCAGCAGGCACTTTGGCGGCGGTGGACGAAGCCGTACGACCTCCCGGTTAATGGATGAGATACCTGGTGTACACGACTCCTTGTTAAATAATCCCATGATGGGCTATTCCTCCAATCGATATGGAAATGTCGACAGGAAAGAGATTCGCGACGAATCAAGAGCCAACTCACTGACAGCCAGTCGGATGAATGAGGTAGGACAGGGCAACTTCCACCCGCCAAGTAGACGAACTAGCCAATCTCCTGGAACTTCTTTTCACCCTGCCGGACGTGGTATGGGCCGGCCACCCCCCGGTCACGACTCGTATAACGGGCAACCTATGCTGCCCACAGGGAGGAGACCATCCCCTCCTGGGGCGAAGAGAGCGCCAATTCCAAAGTATCCTCCTGGACAAGGAAGCGTGGCGGCGCCGCAGCAAGTCGAGCAACATGTCGGGGTGAGCAACTCGTATCCAGCCAAAGGCACCCTAAAAGTTCGAAGTCTGACAGGGAGTGCGAGCGCCAGCGCGGGGAGTGGCGATAGCGGCGTGAGCGCCAATATCGACTCCGAAAATTCCGCCCACAGCAGTCAGAGCAGTCTAGGTCCTCGTCAATCATCGCTCGCTCGATGAACCAATTAAAAATATTCGACCTTCGCATTTTGTTAATGCTCGATTTCTCGATTGAGAAACCCTCGCTGCGATTCCCACGAACCAGAAAACTAAGTTTACGATACGACTTTAGACGTCTTCTGCATTGATGATATCCTCACCCTACCCGTTCCGCCGTGATCGTGATAAAAGTCGATTGCGGATAGACGGTTTAACTTTTATATAAGCCAAACCATTACATATTCTACTTGCTGCTGCTATTGCTCTTCTCTTGTTCTCATTCTCCTTTGTTAACTCTACACCCCCCATTTGCATACTTTTCTTTTTCTTTTCCTTCTTTCCCCTTCTCAAGGCATAACCGTTTCCCTCACAACTAAATATTAATGGCAGCTCTTTCTTCAATGGCTGGTAACTGGGGGGCTGATAAGAGTAATATAGCTTCGTTGCTGAATTACCGGTTTATACCCAAACATTCAATTTTCACCTTTTTTTTTCACCTTTTTTGCGCCGTTGGGGCTTGTTTGTGTTTCAGTGTTCAGAATAAGCTGATTGAATTTCCTCTGTTCTCAGTACTTCAAGGATGCATTGTTTTTATCACGAGTCATTTGGGCGGATCATAAAATAATCACTATAACCAAATGCGCACACAATATACATATCCTTTATTTCCATTTCTACGTCCCTTTCTTAACAAACCCGTATTGTTTTTTACTTTTCATAAACCTTCGAACCTAATGTTTCCCTGTTGTCCCCCTTCCCCCCCTTTTTTTTTGTTTTCTAAGCCCTCTACACTTGAATTAATGTTTTGCATCTCCCCCTCTCCTTCCTATACCTACTTTTTTCACTTTTTTATCCTATGTTGTATTGGCTTCTTTTCTCCTCTTCTCCCTTTTTTGCTTTTGGCCAGAAAACTATTCTGTTGCCTACACATATACATATGAGCTGGCTGTTAGTTCAGAGAAGAGAAGGAAGAGACCAACCTTAACTTAACCTGGCTTGGTAATGAAAACAGTTTCGAGTCAGACTTTATTTCTTTCGTGATTTTTTTTTTTTTGTATGGGGGTTATTAGTCCTGTCAGGAGCGTATGGCGCAAAACTCCCACTGCCCTCCTGGGGTGCTCTGACGCCAATAGTATATAACATACATATAAGATGAGAATATAGATATGGGAAAGAGTGTATGGTTGTAGAAATGACTTTCTTTGGCGATATCTTTTCCTTCTTAAGATTCCCTCCCTTTTTCCCCTCTGTATTTATCAACGTGGGTAGAAATACGGACTGCTTCGTGCGAGTCATTGTCAAGTATTCCTGTCTATAGCCGGCACGTGAATTCCCCCTATTGGTTTCCAAGTTATTATCTATTCGATTTTCCTTTTTTAACTATTTCTTTTCTTACCTATTGAGTAAACTCTATCCCTGCTGTTTCATTGACTGAATGCACTGAATCACGTGATATTCAACTTGGCTACCAACGAAACATCACCGTCCATCTTCAGCAACAGCAGGTCAACAGCTAAACCAGCCGTTCATTCAATTCTCACATTGTACATTAATGTGCACTCACTAATCTCCATGAAAGCATAGAAGCAAAATAATATAACAGCAAAGCAAAGCCGACTATCACTCCCGTAACCTCGCCAGCTAACGCTACAAAATACACAAACCAACAACAAAACATTACTGGAGAAAATGCCACCACCCTACCACCAACGTCAACAATCCTTCTATAATAACCACAATAATAATAATAATAATAACTACCAATCCCACTCCCGCACCTCCTCCGCCACCGCCATGGCCGGATATACCGCCAATCTCACCAGCACCAACCCTTCATCAAACTCAACCTCGCACACCCTCACACAACACCAAACGTCTATGTCCACAGCCAAAACGCGTCAATACGCCCATCTACACTCCCAACTCGCACAGCTCAACGCACATCTGGCCGACATGGAGAATCTCATGCGCATGACGGCGGCGCAGGCGGGAGATATGCGGTTTCTGGGCGGATATGTGGGAGGATTGTTTATGGGGGCTGCTAAGGTTCTAGGGGAGGAGGGGAGTGCGAAGACGGCTGCTGCGTGTGGGGATGAGAGTGGAGGTAGGAGGGAAGGGGATGATTAGTGAGGTTGTTAAAGGGTTGGGAGTTGATGTCACAGAATGAAAGGATAAAGGTATTCTTATGGTTCTCTCATACCGTGGGAGGTGGAGTGTTAGGAGGGTGGGGAATGGTGTTCCTATATCTATCTAATATGGTATACGAAGAGTCTACGCTCGATTGGTCCAGCAATGAGGCGATCTCATCTCATCATCCACCGCGACTCGATCACTCCTCGAATTGCAAATCCGTTAGTCACCAACGACAAATGCTCCTCCAAGAATAATGGCTGGCTCGTCAATGTTGTGATGTTCGTAGCTAGGAAAATCGATTAAGCGGTGTCAGCTATGTCCCGCAGGGAAAAAAAGGAGCAGTCCTTTTTTTTTTTTTTGAAATTTTCGACCTTTGCCAATTTGAGTCAACCCTCACTACAGAGAGACGTAGGACATACCTCAACGTTCCCACACCTCCAGCCTCCAGAATGAACGCCGTTTCTGTAAGCGGTTTTCCAATCCAGCGCATCGCAAATGCTCGCAAAATGTGCCCGTGCGCCACAATTAGAACATCGCCGTTCGCAGGCTCGTGCGCTAACTTGGTCATAGCTTTGCTATGATATTTCGATCTGATCTCGGCGATGAGCGCATCAAGGCGCCTGGTAACATCATCGGCTGATCTGTTTTGCTTTTATTTTAACAACAAGAAGAGGAGAGAGTGGAATGTTTCAGCGGCCCGCCTTTCGGTAAACGTACTCTCCACCAGGACACCCGTCGCGCCAAATATCCCACGAGCCCTCTCCGTTCTTAGCACGCAGCTCTCGGATTTCCGCACTTTTCATCCCTTCATAATCGCCATAATCCCATTCGCGAATAGCTTCGGTGATTTCCACGCGTGCTTCCGTCCGCGAGGGTGTTTTCTGTCTTTCTTGTAACCAGGGAAGCGGTTCTTTGCAACCAATCTCGAGAAGTTCGAGGGTTCTCTGCGCTCTCTGACGGGGGGAGACATATCTTAAAAGGACAACACAATCACATGAGTGGGAGCCGTAGGTTAGGTGGTTTGCGAATTCTAATTCGGGGCAAATTGGGAAGAAAGAGAGCCATAAAATGTTTTAGCTTACATATGTGCCAAATGCTTTGGGACTATCAATCTATCATGTCCTACGAGCGCGTTGCCGGTAGTTTTCACTCGTTTCTCTCCGTCCTCGGTCAATGGCAGGTCTGTAGTGCCTGTATGCTTTCCATTTAGAGACCATTCTGTCTCGCCGTGGCGGATGATGAAGCAGCGCGGGGTGGAGGGCATCTTTTTTTTAGTGGATGTAAGGTGCGGGCGGTGTGTTTATATGTATGTATAATGATCAAATGGTAAGAAGAAACGAAGTTAAACAAATATAATAAAGTTGGTGGGTTAACAAAACGGTTCTCCTGTACAATGTGCCTTGCAGAGTATACAGACATTCCTTTCTTTCTTTTATATGTCAGGACTGTGCCACAATATCGTCACGGCGGGCCTATCTTCTCCATAATAAATTCCCTGCTCACAAGTTACGAGGATATTTAGGTTCAGCTTATTCAGGACGCAGCAGGGAGCCAGCCTGCGCCGTTTACGAATGATTGGATGAGAAGGGAAGGTAACAGCGAATACTCGTATAGCTTTTTTGGATATTTATTCACTTTGTAAGCACCTCGCTTCAGATGAGAATATTGAATAGTCTACAGAGATAAGGATAAGTCCTTTTGCCTCTGGACCCGTGGACATAACCAATCCGTCCAAATTGGGAAAAATGAATTAGGGCTTCATATGGATGCAAACAATGCAAACAATGCAAACAATGCAAACAATGCAAACAATGCAAACAATGCATGTAGTTTTCTTTATCTCAGCTTCAAAAAAATATACTCGATTGCATATTTTTGAGTAGCCCAACCCTTGCTCCGTGGGAAATCCTCTCATAGTTGTCAATCGCAAATGTCCTCAGCAGCTATCTCTCCCAAAGCACGACGGATTATCCTCACAGCCGGCGTCACAATATGCACAATTACGGGCTCGTTATACGGAGCACGCTTGAGAATGGATCAGGATGCAAAGAAGGTACGTGTCTTTATATCTTCCTCTCGCCCATGGATGTTAAGTATACAGCATCCCTAACATTACGCTCCAATTTTCTAGGAAGCTGAGAAACAACGATCCGCCACTCCGGCGGAGAAAATTCAAGCTCTCGAAGCAACCCGGGAGGAACTCGTTAAGCGTCGAGCGTCGCTGGAAAAGCAGATAGGGGAGCTGCGGGCCAGACAGGAGAGCAGGCGCAGGAATGAGAGCATTGGTAACAGTGGGCGGGAGCGGTGAAATAGAGCATAAGGTAATCTGAGCTAAAGATTATTAAGTTCTTTTGGCTAGCCAGTTGCCCACGGAGAGCACACCCGGCTGTGCTTTAATGGATGTGCACAATAAGGACAACCGGCAGGAGATAGTGATGAAAATATCTCCTATTTACATTTGCCCTCGCATTCGAATTCGTCTAGGTGTGGACGGGTTTTTTGGTCTGTGGGGTGCGGCTCCCGATGCGCGTAAAGGACCGTGCTCATATCTTATTATTTGAGTAGAGTTACGTCGGATAACGATCGCAATCGCAAATGAACGAGTCAATTTACATAGGGGACAGACTTAAACAAAGCCTTAATTGCTGGGACTACCGACATGTTTCCGCATGCGACTTACGCCACCCCTAGAGTCTCACGGCCTCCTCTCACCCTTCGAACTCAACCGGTACTTGTTGACGCTCGCCGAGATTCTGCGGATTCAAATAACATTCGTTTGTTATGTCTTCCAGAATGGAATGATATTTTGTTGCTACATCCGCTGGTACATGCTACTCGCGGATAAGCATTTCATTTTATGGGGGGAGGCTAGTGACGACCAGACGTCAAAGGGAGAGAGAAATACTCCCGAGCTGTGCTCCCTGTCACCGCGGATCAATGGTCGAGATTATATGCCACGGGATGGGATCTCTGAATTTTGGCTGTCCCCAACCAAAACCATACCCAGAAAAGGAGGGCAAAAGGAAAGGTGGTTGTTGTGTATATGCCTTTCATGCTGGGGAGCTACGGATGGAAATGATCGGGTTGGAGGAGCTCCAGTTCTGTTAGCCTGGGAAATGAGTGAGATTGCAAGAATAGCTTCGGCTGAGTCCTATGCAGCCACATACAATGAATACAAACGTGTTTTGGATACATAATTAGTTTGAATTTTTTTTTTTTTTTTTTTTTTTTTTTTTTTTTAGTGTAAGAAGGTTCTAAGGTCTTGAATTGTTTAAAATCTCTTTGAAGATGCTTTCTAACTATTTAATAGGTTTTCTGAACAGGCATTTATAAAGAAGCCGTTGGGTTTTTCACAATGCAATAAGGAACTCCCCCGATTCGATCGCTCTGTGGTGTTGGTTTGTACAGTAATATATTGCTAATCCTGTTATCGCCAACACATTTTGCTTCATTTTCCAAGGGCTTCAAATATTTGGCCATGTCTCATTCTATTTAGCATTAATGCCATTCATTGCCTCTCAGTATTCTTAACACGCACACTACAAAACAACTTTTTCTCTTCGAAACCATCCGTATCTCCCATAAATCCAAAGCATAATGCTTTCGCACTTTACTCCTCGGCACACACCAGCCCTCCTCGTCGCGTCAGCCACCACCTTCGGCGGACTACTACCATTCTTCAATGCCGAGTAGGCGATCAAAGAATTCGGTCTTCCACAGCGCATTGCGGTCTCCAAACAAGCCCAATCGGTGATGGTCACACAGTCAGCGCGCACCACTGCCATTGGAATTACGCTATTGACGTTCTACTCCCAAGACAAGCTCACTGAATTCGATACCATCCTTGTAATCCTCGCTTACCTGGGTTTGGTGGATGGTTACGTGTGCTGGCGTGAAGGGATGCCTGGGAAGGCGGCTTTCCGTGCAGCTGTGGGCTTTTTAATCGCTGCCTGGGGCTGGTGCGGGATGACTGTGGGACGATGATGAGTGCTTTTAGCAGAGGGGGGGGCGCGTGAGGGGTGTTTATCTGTTTTGGGCTTCCTCGGTGTGCTGGAAGCATGGTATGATGGATGAGGATAATTATGTAGCGTACAATAAATGTGCATGTGTGGGAACAAGAGAATTATTCCAGACAGTTTTTACAAATATCAGTAAACATTTTATATAGGAGTCATTAAGTTTCATTTTTTTTTTTATACGCTCTGTAATTATTGCATGTTGGCTCATGTATTCGTTGGGCTTTGGTGTAGATTTCATTATTTCGTCGCCGTTGTTACTAGAGCTCGAATAGCTGTTTGCTAGCCAAGGGAGCGCTACAATATAGCGTTGTTCTGTCGAAAACTCTTAGAAAAATGTTGATAGGAATAGGAGGACTGGAAACGAGGTAGCCGTTCGGAATATATTATAGGTGCTACACAGGAAAATGGGGAATAAAACGATGATAAAAAAAGATGAAAAGAGGGTATCTCCGAATGTTCAAAGATAGTTCCCCCTGGAGTTATTTATATCTAAGTGCCTTAGCTATCGAATCTATGTTAATACTGGGTATATATTTGTTATTTACGTATAAATTGGTATAATAGAAAAGTACACCAAGGAGGATAGAGTAAAAGGGAATGAAGAAAAGTAGTATGAAGACCGTGTGTAATAGAAGCAGGCACCAACATGACCATCTTCTCACAAAAACCGTTCACCCATGTATCTAAATTCTACACAATCATAACGCAGCTGAAAGAAATGTAAAATGTCGAAGACCATCTATAACGATTTAGGTAAAACCCAAAGGAAGCCAAATCCCAAAATGAACGAATTAAAGAAATATAACCTGTAAGAATCAATCCTCCAGAACTCCCCTTGCCAACACCGCTAGACTGGCTTCATACCTGCCAGGGCTATGATCACCCAACATCCCAGACCCGAATCTGACCTCGCGGAACCGCGTTTCCACATCCCGGATGAATTTAAGCTGAACGCGCGTTGCAGGCCGACCTAGACGCGGTGATCCGTCCGCACTACCGAAGGCGTCGAGTGTAAAGGCATCACGCTGCAAAACACGCATCGTCTCCACGACAAACACCTCGCCGGGTGGGAGTAATTTAGGCGCCACTAAGGTTTCGCGTAGCGATTTCAGTGTAGCCCACGCCCAGGAATCCTCACCGACCCTATCACCTGCGTGAACGAGGAGTGGGGGCCGGTCTACGTAGAATTTGTTCACTAGTCTGGCGGTAATGCTTTCCCAGACGCGGGAGCGGACATGGGCCTTGGCGTCGGACATATCGCTTTTGAACGCCATGGAAACGGCGTGAAAGTCAAGGAGGACTCCGAGAGATAAAGTAGGGACGACGTCTTGGCCGTTGACGACGGTTGTGATCAGGCCCCTTGTCGCGAGTCGGAGGGAGGGGCACATCACTGCCGGTGGGCCAAAGGCGTAGACATGGATTGGGCGTCCGGCAGGGAGGAAGAGCTGACCACGTTGTTGAGATGAGGGAAGCAAGGAGATACCAGATGAAGGTTTAGATGCCGTTACGAACGAAGGGCCCGATTTATCTGCATCTTTGGGCCTCGAAATCATGGTTGCAAGAAGCGAAGCAACACCTCCACCCAACGAGTGGCCACAGAAAATGACACCGTACTCTGGAAACTCTTCCAGGGCAGCTCTGATTGTCGCCATGACGCGCCCGCCACCTCCTTCAAGGAGCCGCCTCGCTGACGCATGCATCCCTTTGTGGACCTGCCAGGTCCTTCCTAGCCAGTAGAGATCGTCATAATCGCATGTCATGTCGGTTAAGATATCTTCAAATCCCCACGTGCCTCTAAGCGTCAAAACAACAGCTTTGGAAGCGTGGTCCAAGGACAGGTAGTGGACTAAAGGGAATCCTTCAGCTGTTTCTCCGGCTGCATTTGATCCGCCTGCAGGATCGACAAATGATGAAAGAAGTATAGTTGACGCTGGGAGCCCCGTATGTTTGGAAAATGAACAGTGCTCGTGATGATCATCGCTAATAAATTCGTCTTTTTGCCATGGCTGTTTGTTCCCAATACCCATCACTCGGAGGAAATTGGAGCCGTACGATGCCGACGAGAAGCGGGAAAATCTCTGTATGTTTTTCACAATATGGTCATCAGGAAATACTCCTGGAACCCGTCCATCGCGCTGGAGGGCCAGAATCGTAGCCTGATCCTCGTACACGCTCTTTGTAGGTCGTGTGGCAAGTACCAAGGAAGTTTCAGATCCTGCATCGGCAATAGAGTAAGTGCTAGGTGCCAGTGATTTGATAGACCCTTTGCGATGAGGGGTCAGAGGCCGTGGGTTCTCGTCATCGTTAACGAGGATGGCTATATCTTTCTCGGACAGTGTCCTGGAGAGCGCGCTGCTGCTACGAACATGATTCCTGGCCTTGGTGGGAGAGCTGGGAGGGGATCCAGTAGGATGAAGGGAGTATGCGTCGGTTTGGGCAGTATATGAGTCGACGGTTTTCCCTTGAACGGAGATATAACTGGATCTGGAAGGCGATCTCATTCGAGGACCGTTGGGATGCGGGTTTATTAAATTGCCGAAGCTTCGCTTGTGATTTAAAGACTCGTGCTTTGATGGTACCCGGGGCAAAGCTTTTTCGGTATAATATAATCGCTTTGCCATTGGCGAAGTAGGCTGTGCAGTTTCGGTAATATTTGATTTACCAGCTGGATTCTTCAGCGATGGATTTCTTGAAGCATTATGAAGAGCGATATTTTCGTCGTCAGATTTGTTGTCTTGTTTGTCCTGTGAGGATAGGGCTACGTTAGTTAAACCTGTAAAAATCTTCTTCAAAGGTGGCAGCCTATGGCTCGCTTTATCTTCCGTGTTAGATACGACCTTCTGCGTAAAGTTAGAAAGGGATCCCTTTCCAAGGGAGCCTTGCTGCAATCCAGAATCAATCATCGATGAGGACAAGTTTGCACCATATAGGCAATTAGTATTTTCCGCACAAGAATCTGGTATGGTCATCGTATTATTAAAAGACGGGTCCGAGGTTGTCGAAATATCGCCACGCTTTTTCGGTTTTCGCTTGTTCGAAGAATGAGGCCCGGAGGCTGAGCTGCGATCGGCAGAAGAATATAATGTACCACTGAGCTCTTTGCGTAGCTCTGCGCTATTAGAATGGTTTGAGGAGGTTCGAAATACAACCGTATGTTTAAGTAGATGGCTGACAAAGCCCCTCGTAGTATCTCCTGGATCAACATCATGAAGGTGGTGAAATCTTTCCGCTATCATTGCAGCTCCCGGTGGGGGAGATAGATCCACAACATCGTCGTCATAGAAGTCCACAGTTATAGTTCTAGATGTGACGGTATCTGTATTTATTGAAGCCCTGGTGCCTTCTGGTAACTGGTTCATGATATATACTCGGATCTCTTCATCAGAAAGCTCATGCTGGTGATCAGCGGGGAGAGAAACATGCGGCAGAAGAGTACCCAGAGTATTGCGTCTAGCAGTGTCATGTCCCACTGATCTGAAGACATCAGCGCGGTCAGTGTCATCTGGCAATATAAAAGATGATGCACGGGTAGATGCACGCGTGGGTCCGGTATCAATGTCCTCGGGATATCCGATTTGTTGGGTTCCTACAACATCCGCTCTAAGTCCATTGTCGAGGATTACCACATCCCAAACGGTCTCTTCCTTGCCGCTGTCCCGCATTTCTCTCTCTGTTGCTCTTCGACCCCACCGCTGGAGCAAAGCAAAACCCGTGGAACCCACCAACAGATCAGCTACGCCGGCTCTCTGCCCGCCATACTTGCTTTCTTTGCTGCGAAATTCTCTTATAATAAGCGTGATTATCGCCGCGATGGCACGAGAAGATTCAGACGATCCAAGAATAGCATCCAGTGTTGATAGGAGGTTTTGCGAGAAGTCAGAGAAAGAGTTCAGGGTCATCGAAGAAAGGTGAAAGCCAGCAGAGGCAAAAAAAGAGGCGGAGGTTATACTCGAGTGTAATGTTGCCAGCTACAAAGTATGTTAGCACTAGTTAGTATTGCACGGAGCTAGATTTATTTAATGAATAAAATGAAAAAGCCAGCCAAATGAAAGAAAAGAAGTCGTAGATGGATACACATACACTGCGCTCCAACAACGATTCAGCCTGCGCCCTTCCATACTCGGTACTTTGTAAGGCCACATCCCTCCCGGCTCTTACCAAAATACTCTCGACAACGGCTCTGCTCAGTTCTAAGCCCGTGAGAGTCGTAGCCCTCGCACTATCGAGAGCAAAGCCGCCTAGGAATGTGCCGATACGGAGAGATAAGGACGTCGAATGAGTGAATAGCGACACAAGGGAAGCTACTGGTCGCGGGAGAAGAGTTCTGCTGGATTGTGAGGGGATATTCTTCCCAACCTCCCAGGCATCGTCCTCCCTGTCACCAGAGTCAACTCCGGGCATAGCGGAATCTGATGTGTATATAGTTCGTGTTCCGGTCCAAAGCGCTGAGTTTCCTACGACGAGGGTCCATCGATCTAACAGCAGACGGTTGGTCTATTGCAACCAGATTTGATAAGTTATATGCGACATGTGACTCAGTCCACAATCAGTACCCAGCAATGTCCACGGGTATGTCTGTCTGCGTATGTATCATGGCGGAGATTGTGCAGTTGACCCGATGATGGATGATGTCGATGGTGGTGATGGATGTTGGAGCGTCGTCTTTCGCCGTTGGAGTGGAACATGTGACCCCTGTTGAGCCCCATCTGGCCAACAACCGGACAGCCGGAGCTTGGCATCGCTTCCATCAGTCAGGCCACAGCGTGGAGACGGTTTGATTATTCTGATTCTGATAACAATGCCGATGTCAATTGATGTTATGCAACGCGAGAGGGACGGTCTTGTTCATGCTCGTGTTCAGAACCACCGTAGGTGAGCATGGGATGGGTTGCACCATCTCCAAGCCAAGGTTTCTGTGACGCCAGCTTTCAACCTTGGAAGTCTTGAGCCAGGAGAAGTCCAAGCTTCCGGTTTGCTGAAGGATGGAGAACCAGATCTTCCCCCGGCTAAATGATTAGTTATATGCCAACAGCTTTTCCACGCGATCGCAACGAAGCCGATGATTCACGAAAACAAAGGTTCACAGATGCTGTGGGTGGGCAAATGTGCCAACGTGCCCCCCCCCCCCCCAAAAAAAAAAAAAAAAAAAAAAAAAAAAAAAAAAAAAAAAAAGAGGAGTTGATATCCTCGCTTCCTTTGCCTCGAAACACGCAGTACAACGCAGTCGTACCTCATGCTAGCAACCATTGCATGCACTCGTGGGATTCTGTCCCAGTGTTCCCAGGAAATCTGTCTTCATTTCATTCTTGGTCTAGTTGGATTTGGTTCGTCCGGTGCATTTCCGCCAAGCCGCGAGCCGCACAAGTGGATTGTTTACCCCTGGTCCGTCTACGCTATCTGCGGGAACCAGGTTTGTTTGGAATACAAATATCCCACCCCAGGCTATTATTGCAACGCTGACGCCAAAGTGGCTGAAGATGAGTTCTGATTGTTATTTACTAAGACCATTTCTTCCAAGAGAAGGTTTCAACTGGGCTGATTTCACCAGTACGTAGGATGCAAAAGTTATCAGCGCCCATTTTCGGCCATAAAATTTGGCACCGTTGAACAACGGAATAATAACCTTGCCCTTGGAGGCCGCGAGCCCCCAGCTCGGATGCCCAACCAGTCCAAAACAACCGTCCTCCTTAGTTACTCCGTGCCCCTCCGTTTTATGCAACACACCTTGAGCTATCGTCTAGATGACAAGAAACAACGATGAATTTCTCGGTTACCAATGAATTCTTTTCAGTGTCACAGATTGCTTTGCTCGACCCGGAGAGGGCTTCACTTCTCTGCGTCGTACACTCGTGAGGTGGGATATATTTATCCTGATACTTCCTTCAGCTCCATCATCATCATCAGTGGTTGGGTAAAGCGGCAATTAGTGTCGTGGGTGGCCTACTATTGATTTGTTCCCGAGCGGACCCCGGTCTCCCCAAAGCGCACGTAGGCGTTCAGCAACGGCGCCAGCACAGCGAGTGATCACGCTGATCTTTCAGGGAGATAGGAGGTGACTTTACGATTCAAGGGCCCGGCTTTTCCCATGGTTGAAACCTGCTTCTAGCAACTCTCTAGAACTAACTAAAGGTTGGTTTTCCCTCCCTATCCATGGTTGTGTGGGCGCAGCGGTACGCCACTCCGTCTTGCCAGGCATATCTTCACAGCACGACTGCGCTGCGCTGCAGAAGAGTCCAACCGATCATTCTTCTTTCTTCTGCATGAAAGCTGGTTTTATCGATCTGGTGCGACACATCTCTGCACGCCGATGGCCGGATCTATAGAAGGTGAGGTAACATACTTTCATTTTTCCGTTCGATTTCGATGCGCAGGAAGGGCAGATGGATCCCTGATGAATCCCAGTTGCCATGCATGACCAGTTCCATGTCGATGATAGGATAGAAAGTGCCCGGAGGACGGACAAAAGCACGCGCAAGGAATCTGATCGTAAAAATACCCTTTGGTCTCGCCAAGGTCGTATGCTTACGAGCTTGGCGGCTTAAGCTATTTATCCATGTCGGGGTAAATGGAGATATGCTATTGAACACGCCTGGGTGGAGCCATTAAGAAATGCCCCCAAGCCAAGTCCATCGCCGCTTGAGGGATTCCTGTGAAATCCCAGGTAGCCGCAGAAAATAATAATTCTTCCCCTCGATTATCCATGCGATGCTACTTTATTTAGCTAGTAACTAGAGTTGCCTCATGGAACAGGCTGGGGGGGTGTACCCTGTTAATGGCCAACAATCCCCTGCTGAGTTGCTTCTTGCTCCCGGGGTATTACTTTATCCATCCCCCCCACACTCCCAATAGTCTTTCCATCAATCTCCGCGCGGTCGCGCTGGACCGGAGTTGGTGGACAGAGAGTGCCCATTATTGATCGACGACTTGACCACTCGATCCCCTGCGCAGGACGGCGCTCCATAACTCGAGAACGTGATTTGACTCCTCATTTTCCCTAAAATGTGATCCTTCTTGACCACTCCTCCTTTTCCCTTCCTTTTCCTTTCCTTTTCCTGCTCCCCATATCCTTTCTTATCGACAGGATGGCGTGCCGTATTCTTGGGCGTTGCTGTCCTCCTCCCAATGAACGTCTGACGAATGTAAGGGGCGCACGGGAACCAAACAAGCAATCGCGAGTGACGAAGTTACCAGGAGCATGGCGTGGGCAAGAAGGATTATCCTTTGATATGATCGTTGGTGGCTGCACTTGTCCTGTAAGTACCAACCGCGAAAAATGCCTTCATCTTAGTACGCAGCACCTATACCAATGTCCACCGTTTTGCCCACTTCGAATTCTACATGTATACATCGAACTCGCTTGTCAGCTCCGTTGTCGTTAAGATAACGTAAATAGAAATATATATGTTGTTTAACAGTCTCGAACTCATTGCTGACAATTGCCTTTATAGCCATGCACCCTTCGGGATTTCATGAACTATTTAAAATATGTTGAACGGAACGCGGAGAACTTGCAATTTTTCCTATGGTATCGCGACTATTCTCGACGCTTTGCCTTGATTGCCGATAACCAAAGACAGCTCTCCCCAGAGTGGATTGGAAAGGAAAAGCGACCGGGAGACGTATCAGGTCAACCAACCCCAACGGTACCGCTGTCCCCAGCTGTCACTATTGTCGCTGAAGAGCAGTTCGAATCTACGCATCTTCCCACATATATCCATACCGCACCGTTCAGTACACCCCCACGAAGTCCTGCTCATCCAGATGGCGACCGGAGCACCCCATCAAGAACGGGGAAGGTTGACGGCACCTCAAGTCCGCGCACACAGAAGAGCGAACAGGAGAACTTGCCTGGCCATGTGGTTGAAAACATGGATTCGATAAACGCAGGGCCGGCTGCCGCCGCAAGAACTGAAGCTTCGTCCGAAACCAAATGTAACGATTCCCACGTAGGCACAGGCGAAAGCCAAAGAAAGACAAAGAGAGAACAACCCGATCATCCTCAAAAACCAAATTTATCACAACCCTATAGAAATGAACTCACCAGAATTTATGCGACATATATTGCGGATGGCGCGAGCCGGCAGTTGAACCTGACGTCTCAAGAACGAGATAATCTCAACCGTGCCCTGGCCAGCACAACGCATCCATCAGCGTTCAAACAAGTGGCAGGGCAAGTAGAATGGACTCTCCGCCAGCAATCGCATCCCAATTTTATCCGCTGGACCATGAATAATTGCAACTGCTCTCGGATTATCGCGGCTCGCATAGTTAGTTGCGTGGCAATGTTTTGTGGTCTGATAGCTGGCATCATTCCAATATTGAGTTCCGCCACGCGGGCCTGGAGGATTATTTCCGCATTAATTCTCTTGCCTGGCCTGGTTATTTTTCTTACGTCCTGGGACGGTGGATGCATCGTAAGTCTTTTGTTTCTTTTTGCTTCTCTCTTCGAGAAATCAACACAAAAGGACGGACTGGAGGAGTGCGATTCTATCGTGACCTTCGACCAAAAAAGGGGTCAAAACATACTATCAAAGCTTACAGTTATTGCAGCTCTTCCTCTTCCTTAACCGCCGCCATCTGCATCCCTGGGAACTCTTCTCCGACGAAGATGAGCACGTGCGACAAAAGCTAGGAATGCAATCTAAGATCTTCTCTAGTGTCGGAGAGAGCAACTCCTACGAAGATGAGCCCTGGATACCCACTTATGAGAGACGCAAATTCCTCCAAAAAGTCTTCGATCCAGATACTAGGATTCAAGACCCTATCCTCCGCCGCATACACCTCTTTATCCTCCTCCGTACTCTCACCGTCGCTGCCATCGTAACCGCCGCCCTCCTGATTATATTCCTCTCCATACCCAAGTGCAATTATTTCTGAAACAAATCACTGCTCTCATATACTATCACATCACATATTGGGTTTCATGGAAAAGGAAGACGCGGCGTTTCTTTTGGGTAAATGGGATAATCCTTGATTGGGGGGGGGGGACCTTGGGCAAGATATCAATGTTCTATCATCACTATTCTTTTCTTTTGGGCTTTATATAACCGGTTGGCCGGAATTTTCTTCTTTCTTCTTACTTCAATTAACCACCTTGACGGAACTGGAAAGAAAAGGAGCCGTTTCCTCCTTTTCCGGGAACTTTTTAGACCATGTCAATCCTACGAGACCATGGACCGTGACGACACGGTCTTAACCACGAAAGCAGCAAGAGGCGGCGGAGAGCAATATTTGGGGCCCCCCAGTTCTCGCCGGACATTCCCCGATATTCGGTTCCCTGAACGGCGTGGACTCTGAGATCTCCTCTCATATTTTCCTACATGTTTTAAATAATCTTCTTACCTCTCCCTCTTGAGGCACATTTTCACTTCTATATACTTTTGCTAGATACCCTGAATTCCCTTTTTTATCGAACCCTTCGAACTTCGAACGCAAGTTGATGCTCTGTCTGAGATATCACTTATTTCTTTTGTTTTTGCACAATCCCTTTTTGCTCACGACAAGTTCTTTTCATTTCTGTACACTCGTATTCTTTTTTTCTTTCTTTTTTTCTTTCTTTTTTTCTTTCTTTTTTTCTTTTTCTTTTTTCTTTTTTCTTTTTTCTTTAATTCTGAAAGCGTAAATTTAATTATGATTTATTAAGTTATGTAGTAAAAATTAACTACGACATACATGCCCGAGGACGCTAGAGGCGCGAGAAACTCATTGAGCTCATATGGCGCTTTACTTTGCCTGCGCTCAAACTAGTTAGCCCCAGCACCCAAGTCACTGCTGCAACAAGTAACTAGATGCATGATGTAACCTCTTTTGCATCCGAAGTTTCTGGTATCCAAGCTGCAAAGCTTGTAAGAAAGATGTGCATTACCCCTGAGCAGCGACCGAGGCTCATAAAGCTGCCAGGGATTGGTCTTACGCGGAGGAATCAAAGAAAAATCTGGCTGTTTTTTCAGAACTTAATTATGCCAGATGTTCTCCGCAATATATCACCATTATCGTTTCCGGCCGGAGGATGTTAGTTTTGGTGTCTTCTAGTCTCTCTCTGCAGGGGGCATTTTCTGCTGTTGTTGTGAACATCGGAGCGGACACTTGATCCCCTACTACGTTGACGTTGACCACGGAAAAACAGTTCCAGGTCCAGCTTTGGCATAAAAGATGCGTCCTTTCTAGCAGAATGCTCTCGCCCGTAGTATCCATTTTTAAAAGTGGCTGCCAACGGCGGAGAGGGGATAGTTCGAGCTCCCTCAGCACAGTAAAGAATGATAATGCCGCTACTCCTACTACAACAATAAACAATCAGGACTTTGTAGGACAAATCTTCACCTGCAGCAGGATCAAAGTTTGCCATAGCGACACAACCCAGGTATATCCCGAAGCCAGTGAGAAAGGCTCCGACGGAGTAGTTTAAGAGAAGAGCAGGAGCTTGAATCGTACAAGCTGAGTTGAGATAATACCCAACGATTTCTATCACGGAATTCAATAACCAATTTTTCCGCTTCTGACGAAGGGTCTCTTGTATATCTTCCCCAGTAGTCGTCGCCGTTTGTTCCTCATCTCTCGGAATAAATTCAAGATTGTTAATTGCAGCGTCCACTCTACCGCGTTCACTTGCTCCACTTGGTTCGCTGAGCCAATCTTTCACGTCTTCCGTTTTGTATAGACTGCTCAGTCTGCACTGGAGAAGACACGAGTAGAATACAGACAGAAGCACAGCTACGAGACTGATGACAAAGGCAGCTCGAGATGTCCAGTGCACTGAGCTGCACTAAGCTAAGATTTTGCAGCGAAAAAGAATTTATGGCGACCTGAGCGATGATAGCGGACTCCATCTCACGCGTAATGTTTAGCAACTAGTTATTCCTTCCGGTACCATGGCATAATACCACTGTTCATATACTCACCGCCACTGCAAGCATGGAACAACCATCAGATAAAGATTTCTTAAGCACCATGGGCTCTTCGCCTTTACACAGAAGCATATGCTCCTCGATACCCCAGACCACGTCGTTGGCATCAGGGAAGATGAACACCAGCGTTATTATTGCATGGAACAGACCATCGGTATTTTTTAGATTTGCGAAGGTGTGTCGGAAGCTGCGAAAAGTGATCACATCTATTTCAAGGTTGAGCATCTATGTGATTCAAAGGTGACCTCGGTCAGTGTAAGCTTCTGCAGCATACATTGACTTATAAAAGAAAAGATAAAAAATCCCGCTGGACCTCTAACTTCAAGGAGGGCTAGTGAATAGCTTTAATGTTCCAATATATATCTTCATATCCTCACATTGTTTCATAACCTTGAAGGGCCTCAGTCCCTACAGTCCGAGGATAAAATCAAGAGGCTTATGTGATGCTCAATACGGACTCCAGAATACTCGTTCTGCATCCCATATTGATTTCACACGCTTCAATTCGGCAACTCTGCCGCTGGGATACAGCTCTTCTAGATCTATCCCCGAATACTGGTTATTGGCCAGTGTCCTCGGCGGCCCTGCGTCATTCCGTCTGGCGATCTCCATGAACTCGTCACAAAACTGATCAAGAGACTTATTCGTTTCCCAACTCTGGGCCCACCGGATCGTATTAGCGAATATGCTACGGCCCCGAATCCCAAGAAACTTGAATTGCCCTTCTTCGCTTCGCCCTAGTCCAACGGCCTTGTTTGTGCTGAACCGGCCAGACAGCTATGGTTCGCTTCGCATCCTGGTTTTGCTCACCTACCCGAGCCCAGCTCTCAAAACTCTCTTTGATAGATTCCATGTTCACAAAGCTCACGTAGCAGGAGGAAATACCCTTGTATCCCCCATGGACATCCATAAAGTCAAGCCCATTGTTAACGGTTGCCATCGGAACAAAGAGAGTCTCTACCTTGTTGGCTTTGCTGACGAGTTCCGGCTCAAAGAGTAAGGCAACTGCGAGCTCGCCCTCATGAGCAGGCCCATAATATGACGCTGAGAGCATGATCGTATGCGAATCTGGAACGGGGGCATTGGGAGGGGTCCTGAAGAAGACCATGGAGATAGCTAGAGGAGGTGGTGGATCACTGAATTGCGCGAATGCCTCGGCAGCAGCCGCTATGGCAGTAGATGGGAAGACGGCTCTGCGAGTCCAAATGCAGTCGTTGGTCAGGTTCAAACTTTTTAGAGGGAAAATCTTCATTGTCACTGATGTGATAACTCCGAGTCCATGACCGGCGCCGCAGAGAGCGTTGAACAGAGCCTTTCCTTCTCCTTCCGATGACGAGCTCACATCCAACTTCTCCTCGTTCTGGGATATGAGCTGTATTGATTCCACAGCGTCAATCATGAAGTCGTGCAGACCGTTCAAAGAACAATTTCCACCACCCAAGACACATCCGACGTAGCCAAAGGCATTAGAGTTGGGTCACAATGTATAGTAGCCCTCCGCCGTGACAGCCTTGATCACTTGGCTAGTCGAAGTACCGCCGCCAACACGCACAGTCCCCGTAGACGTATCAACGACCACGCTGTTGAACTTCCTCATGTCTAGATACAGGGTGTTCGATGTGATTGGCACAAAGGAGCCGTGACCACCATCTGCCGGGATAAGTGTGAGTTTCCGCTCTTTGGCAAGCTTAATAGCATCAAAAATATCTTCTTCTGAATTTGGTACGATCACCATTGCTGGAAGCTCAACGTTGTGGTCTGACCACCTCGAAATCACCTCACTGGGAGGCTGAGAAGGCTGGGGGACAACTACCTCGGATTTCGGACGGGTAGAGATCGGGGTGGTTGAATCAGCCATTAAAGATGTTTAATAAAAAGTTTGGGTGAATGTGAATGTTGTTTTTTTTGGTCAGCTGAGTTGAACTCCTCTCAGATATATCTCAGCAGGCCCAGCCGCTTTACTAAATAACATAACTGTACGCCCTACAACAGTTTAGCTATAAGTCACCGCAATGTCGCGCTATGAAACGTCGCAGCACCACGTTACAGGGACCAATAGCAGGAACCTTGAGCAGCATGATTATATACCGATGAAAGTATTCAGCAGCGTATGGCTGCAGCATTGGCGGGCTGAACCATGAAGAAATGTGCCTGGATTCATATATCGAGAATAGATATACTCAAAACTTAAGCAGTGATTATTATTTCACTTACGTCATTCGGATAATATTTCATATGTGGATAGAAATAGAATGAGAAGAGTGACGTGTGAGACAAGAGTTCAAGCTGGAGCACGCCTTGGTTATTCTGGCTGAAAATTAGACACCGATTTGGTGATTTTTTGAAGATATCATGCCCTTGGAATTGGAGACAAACTCATCCCAATCATCATCGTTGGGATGGTGTGTTGTCGGTTGATCTCTCAAGGCTTGCTAGGAATTATCGGTTCAAGGCAAGCCCAGTCATTTGAAATTAATTTCAAAGAAATCACGCGTAGCAACATTCGCGGCCATTTTCAAGAGCTGCGTAGCAGAGTCAATGGGTTACGGGCGAAATGGATGGCCATGCTTCCAAAATGGTTGAATCATCATGTATATCAAATGAGGGAGCAGTATCTGGTAAATAGGCGCCCACGGACTGGGGATGGTTTTGGTCCTAGGTCTGACGCGTTGTTGATTGACCTATATTCCATGTAAGCAGCTGTGTGTGAATGATTTACATTTTGGCAGAGATATACCTAAGTATTCATTGCCAGATAACGGGATACTTACTTCTAAATGTTATATTAGTCAAGCAATGTTAGAGAGATTGATGATGAAGGCCGTGATTGAATATATTTGAGATATTTCATTCTGGGTGCAACGTTACAACAAGTATGGAATGCAAATATTAGAGAATATAAGAATTTAACTTTGGGAGGTCTCACACATGAAGAGTATTGTAAACTTCAAGGAGTTATCTCTCTTCACGTCTACAGTTTCAATCCCTAATTGGATTGAACTCGCGCATCGCCTGGTAACTTAGTGTAGGCTACTGAGTCACCACCAGCGCACTGCTGGTAGAAGGGCCCAACACTTAGTTAACGTTATTTGCTGACTAAGATCTACGTAAATGCTAACTTAAGGTATCTATCCTAATATGGGCTAGCGCGTCTCGTGCTTAACGCGTTCCGGCGCGGTTGTGGTCTGTGGGTTGTTGCTCGGAACTGTCCAGGACTCGATACTTCTTCAACATCTAGGAACCAACAAAAGCAAACTGAGGCCGCAGGCGGTGGGCTTCAAAGACGACATGCCTTCCCTTGCGCCTCTTCCGCAACGGCGACAACGAGCTGAAGAGCCAGAATCCGACAGCAACAGCCACGACAGCGATATGGCTTCTCGCATCTCTCGAGATGGCACTCCCTTTTCCCAAGCGTCTAATGGAAGCAAGCGCATTCGCCTTTCAGCACCTTATGATGATGAAAACGACGAGAATGATGCGAACTCTACGTTGGAAGAAGATAGTGATGATGGACCTGCTAGGGCAAACCGAACAACGAAGTCAGGCAATACGCTCCAGGTCCCCGTTGTCAAGACCGATCCCAACTCTCGTACCCGCACCTCTAGCGGCAGGCGAAAACACTCCCACGGGAATGGGTCGAATCCAGAACATCGACCTGGATCGATTGTGAGAGTTAAACTCACGGATTTTGTGACATATACCTCTGCAGAGTTCTTTCCTGGGCCGAGACTTAATATGGTGATTGGCCCCAATGGAACTGGGAAGAGTACCCTTGTTTGTGCGATTTGCTTAGGACTTGGATGGGGCCCACAGGTAAATAAACTTAGTTTCTACATATTTGTTGAAAACGATGTTCCCCCCTGTAACTTAAAGATAAAGACTTCTGAGGTTGTGATTTGCGCGAAATTATATAACATGCTGACAAAAGCCCGGTACTACAGCATCTTGGAAGAGCAAAGGATCCAGCCGAGTTTGTTAAACATGGCTGCGAAGAGGCAATCATTGAAATTGAGCTAGCTAAAGGAAGAAATCATCGCGAAAACCCGGTCATCCGCAGAACCATCGTAAGGAAGGGCAACAAAAGCACTTTTGCGATCAATGGGAAGCCCTCATCGAAGGCTTCTGTCCTTGAGCTTGCGAAATCGTTCTCTATTCAAATCGACAATCTATGCCAATTCTTGCCACAGGACAAGGTAGCTGAGTTTGCTGCGCTTTCGCCAATTGAATTATTACACTCGACCCAGCGAGCAGCAGCTGGCCCCGAGATGCTGGAGTGGCATGAAAATCTAAAGACACTACGTGCCGAACAGAAGAAATTGCAAGCTGCTAACGCCGGCGAACGCGAACAACTGGCAAATTTGGAAAGCCGCCAAGAAATGCAAAGGGAAGACGTGGAGAGGCTGTTGCAACGCGCACGGATACAGAAGAAGATTGCCTTGCTGGAACGCTCGCGGCCAGTACCAAGGTATCAGGAGGCCGTCCAATCGTTCAGAGAGGCGCAACACAAAAGACGGAATCTTCAACAAGAGCACGGTGATTTAGAAAACCAGCTGGCCCCTGCTCTCAAGTCAGTTAATGATAAAAAGGAATACTTGAATTCTCTCCAAGCGGTTGTCGCGCAGAAAAGAGATATGGTTACTAGACAAGAAGGAGTGGTGGCGGACAGTGCCCTGAAACTTGAAAAGACACAAGAGAGTATACAAGACTTGGATGCGCAAATTGAGGCTGAGAAAAAGGCTACGAAAACGCATCGGGAGATTTTTAAAAAGTCGCAGCAGATTATTAACAAACTCACGCGACAAATGGAGGAGGAGCCGGTTGAATATGATGCTGCGGCCTATACCGAGAAAATTGTAAGCTTTGCTCTTTTCCCTAGCCCCACTGTTTCATTTCTCACACATTAACTAATATTTCTGTAGCGGGAGACCGTGCGTAAGATTAGGGATATCGAGGAGGAGATGAGAAATGCCCATGACGCCAAAAATAAGGCTTCTCGGGACCAGGAGATTACGTTAGAAAAAATTTCGAAAGGAAATGAACGCCTCAAGAACTTAAACACTGAGAGTGGACGACAAGAGGAGAAGCTGAAACATTTGTCTGCAGATACTGCCAAAGCATGGGCATGGATAAATGCAAACCAGCCCAAGTTTCAAAAAAGGGTCTTCGGTCCGCCGCTTGTGGAGTGCTCTGTAAAGGACCCTACATATGTGGATGCCATGGAATCGCTATTCCAAAGGACTGACCTTTTAACCTTCACAGTCCAGACTCTGGTTGATTTCAAAATGCTACAGCAAGCATTCTCTAAAGAATTAGGACTTCATGACATTTCTATGAAGGTTTCTTCTGTCACCTTATCCGACCTCCGAACTCCGATAACAGACGAGGAGCTTCGCGCTCTGGGATTCGACTGTTGGGCTAAAGATTTATTAGCTGGGCCTGAGCCTGTCGTGGCTATGCTCTGCAGCGAAAACAGATTGAATCAGACGCCTATAGCTCGTCGAGATATCACCGACGAGGAGCATACGAGGATGACAAACAGCCCAATCAGCAGTTGGGTGACCGGACGCCAGTCATACCAAGTCATCCGCAGACGTGAATACGGGCCAAGCGCCGTTTCGACTCGAGTTCGGCAGCTTCGACCTGCCCAATTTTGGACGAACCAGCCCGCCGATCTCTCTGCCAAGAGCACCATTGTGAATGGGATTAAAGAACTGCAAAGGGAAGTGGATACGCTCCAGGAGGTGATTGATGAACACAAGAAGACACTTGAAAATTTGAGAAGACGTCATAGAGATGTACAGGAACAAAAGGTATATTCCCATAATGGACATAGGACCTTCAAACATCCGCTAACAGCAATCTTTATCCAGCGGAATTTGGAGTCGGAAAAGTCAGCGAAGCAGACCGCTCTGACACTCTATAAAACTTTGCCTACTAAAAAGGGTAAGCTCTGCAACCTTCTTGCCGCTTCAACCACTAACTCCCCGTTTAGCACAGCAAGAGGAAAAACTCCGTGCGTCGGAAGCTGCGATAAGGGGCGTGAGGGAGAGAGTTGAAGCGCTTCGGAACAAACAGGATCAGCTCTCTCTTGAAAAGGCTGCTGTGGCTCTTGAATATGCTGTAAGTCTACTCCCCCAAGCAGAGGATGTTTCCGAACGCTAACTTCCTTCTAGACCTGCGTCGATGAATTCCAACATTTAATTGAGGATCTTGCTTTAGTAGAAGTTAATCTCCTCGAAGCTGTATCCGACCTTGACACCCTACACGAGAGGAACACGGAAGTAAACAAAACCCTCAAGAGGAAAAAGGCAGAAGTTGAGGAAGCAATAAAGGAGTGTGCCAAAATAAAGGAGCGGGTTGACAAGTGCCGGAATGATTTCAAGGAATTTGTTGAATACGTCAACGCCGACCCAGAGATGCAGACGGAGGAATTAAGGGAGCTTGTCGAGACAATAAAGAGCTACAGCGTTGATCAGCTTGAGGCTGAGATTGACTCTGAAAAAGCCGCTCTCGAACTAGCCGGTGAAGGCAACACCAACGTGATTAAAGAGTTTGAAGAGCGCCAGCAGCGCATCGACAAACTCAAGGACCATCTTTCTGAGTTCCAAACAAACCTCAACGAACTAGACGAAGCAATTGCCGAAATTCGAGGCAAATGGGAGCCGAAGCTTGAAGCCCTCGTCAAGCAAATCAGTGACGCCTTTAGCGAGTCCTTCGCCCGCATCGGGTGCGCGGGGCAAGTGAGCATCGACAAGGCTGAAGATGTCATGCCCGAACATGGCAGCTCTGTTCTTAACTCTACTCAGGCTGGTAACGGTAACGGGAACGGGAACGGCAGCACCAACCGCACGAGCGATT